TTTGTTCTGCAGCTTCTGTGGGACTCCAGTGATTTGTAGCCACAAAGCTCTTAGCATGACTATTGCAGTAGCCTTCGATTGGGCAGCTGTATCTGCCATGTCCAACGTGATCTGGAGGCCTGTCCTAGCGGAAGCATAGCCTTCTGGAACTATGGACTTCAAGATTGGTCTCCGAGTCCGGTAAGTGCTCCATGAGTGCTGTGAGCTTGGTGTAATTTTTGAAGTCATGGTTCGACAAGAGTGCAGAGTAGTTGGCAATGCACAGCAGGCAATGCAGAGTAGCAGTGTTGCAGAGTAAACTTTTCTGCCAAACAGGTTCATACATTTACTTTACTTCTCCACTGAAGCATTCTTGTACTGGAGAGCCTTGGACCTGTGACGAGCCGCATCTATGACCAGGGAGCTGGGCTGAGGGTGAGAAAATAAAAATTCCATTTCCTTAGCCAGAACAAAGTATTTTTTGTTTGCTCTCTTATTGGTTGGTGGGGCAGAAGCTGGGGTCTTAGCTCACTGGGAGGATTGAAGGTTTTTGAGGAGGTGGTACTGTTTGACTGGATCTCTGTAAGTTGGACCTCCTGGCTAGTGGTGAGTCTCTTAAGCAATTCCTGGAATTGTTTAAGATTCTTTGAAGGTGACTTGTCCCCTGGGATTACAGTTTCATCCGGAGATATCTGTAGGAGAAGTATCAGGCTGCTGTTCTTCAGAGTCTGATGACTGACTCTCTTCAGGCTCCGACTGGTGTGTTTGAGGGGAAGAACTCTGAGGTGGTGGTGGAAGGTGTTACTTGTGAGGAGGTACGAAAGCAGCAGGATACCAATTTGCAGGTGAGGACCTGTAGCAGTAGAGCAACTAGTGTCTAGGACGTGGAGGCTGGTGATAGTGGTAGCCAGTCGACCTATAAGGTGGGTGGTCATATTAGTAGCTATGATAAGAACGGCCATACTGGGTCAGACCAAAGGTCCATCTAGCCCAGTACCCTGTCTGCCAACAGTGGCCAATGCCAGGTGCCCCAGAGGGAGTGAATCGAACAGGTAATGATCAAGCGATCTCTCCCCTGCCATCCATCTTCACCCTCTGACAAACAGAGGCCGGGGACACCATTCCTTACCCATACTGGCTAATAGCCATTTATGGACTTAACCTCCATGAACGTATCTAGTTCTCTTTTAAACCCTGTTATAGTCCTAGCCTTCACAGCCTCCTCAGACAAGCAGTTCCACAGATTGACTATGCACTGGGTGAAGAACTTCCTTTTATTTGTTTTAAGCCCGATGCCCATTAATTTCATTTGGTGGCCCCTAGTTCTTCTAGTATGGGAACAAGTAAATAGCTTTTCCTTATTCACTTCCTCTACACCACTCATGATTTTATAGACCTCTATCATATCCCCCCTTAGTTTCCTCTTTTCCAAGCTGAAAAGTCCCAGTCTCTAATTTCTCCTCATATGGGACCTGTTCCAAACCCCTAATCATTTTAGTTGCCCTTCTCTGAACCTTTTCTAATGCCAGTGTATCTTTTTTGAGATGATAGTGTGATCTTCTGCGTGACGAGTGTCTTGAAGAAAGCATACTCCTACAACCTTCCCAGTATGTTGCACGTGGAGATAACTGTGGAGAATGAGGGAGTATCACTGAGCCCCTGGACGACAAGGGTGGAGAAAGAGACATATGCCTCAGATGGGCATGTCACAGGTAGTGGAGATAGGGATCTCTGCTGTCTCCTATAGGAGGGGACATCACATCTGGTTGCAGAAAGGTGCAGCACCAATGACCCCAGTGCCGGCAAAAAGACTGGAGACGACGGGCTCTGGTGCCAGTTAGATTTTGTGATAGACCATCCGCATCAAGAGGCTATCGTGCATCTCTAGTGCCGAACTAGGAGGCTGCAGTATCGGCTCTGGCACAGTAGGTGCTGTCAGTGTCGAGGTAGGTACCGGGATGACAACGTTGGCACCGACTGAGGGGGGACATGATAGCTGTTTTCAGGTATCTAAACGGGTGTCATGAGGAGGAGGGAGAAAACGTGTTCATCTTGGCCTCTGAGGACAGAACAAGAAGCAATGGGCTTAAACTGCAGCAAGGGAGGTTTAGGTTGGACATTAGGAAAAAGTTTTTAACTGTCAGGGTGGTTAAACACTGGAATAAATTGCCCAGGGAGGTTGTGGAATCTCCATCTCTGGAGATATTTAAGAGCAGGTTAGATAAATGTCTATCAGGGATGGTCTAAGTCAGTACTTGGTCCTGTCATGAGGGCAGGGGACTGGAGTCAATGACCTCTCGAGGTCCCTTCCAGTCCTAGTATTCTATGACAGATCTGAACCTTATGTCTAGTCTGAATCTATCTAGCTTCAGCTTTCCAGCACTGGATATTAGGTCTACCTCAGCTCAGTGGTCCTCTCAGCAGCCTTCCTAAGCCAAACAGAAAAAGCTTTTGTCTTTCATTGTAAGGCTAGTGTTCAGACCATAAATCTTCTCATGGCTCTTTTCTGAATTCCTCCCAGTTTTGCAATATCCTTTTTCAAATGCTGATGCCCAAAATGACTAAGTATTTTCACCCCTTCCCAGGCTTAGCCCTTCCTTAAAGTCACAGAACAGGTCTGTTCTGCTTTTTCCTAGCTTCAAAAAGCTATCCCTCACCTGATGAGCCTCTCTGGATATTCACCTCTCCCTCGTCTTTACCTGTAAACTTTCAATGTGTAATCTAAAAACTCTAGGCACTCACTCCCAATATACCACCTTGGGTCTTCTGCAATTTGAATTCTGTCCTCTCCAGTCTAACGAAGCAGCTTCCATGACTCTTTTCTAGCAAAATCTCAGGATCTTTTACTCCAGCCTCATCCTTGTTTTTGCTTTTAATACAGTAGACTCATTTTGAATGTGCATCTGACGAAGTGCGTCTTTGCTCACGAAAGCTTATGCTCCCATAAATCTGTTAGTCTATAAGGTGCCACAGGACTCCTCGTTGCTTTTGCAGATTCAGATTAACACAGCTCCCCCTCTGATACTATACTCACCTTGATATCCTACTTTTGCAGTGATTTTGAGACCCTAAATAACATTTCAGAAGCAGCAACTTCCTAGCCCAAGTCCTGTTTTCTAAAGAGACTATTTGGGAGTCCAAATGTTACTGAAAGCAATGAGATTCTTGCTCCCAAGTGCCTCAATCTTTTAAAAATGTGACCTGGGTGCTTTTGAAAGTTTTACCCAACTGTCTCCCTCCTGGTTTTTCCTCCTCTCTCTGTTACAGTTTCTTCTGTCTCTCTTCTGGTAGATCCTCATTCACCACTCTAAATGTGAGGGATCTCAGGACTCTCTGTGGCCCTTTGTTTTCCTCCATTAACACCTGATCATCAGTTCACAAGCGGTAAACTATCATTTCTACACAGATGACTCACAAAACTATTTCTCTACAAGATTGAGGAAAGTGATTATTCTCATGTATTCGGCATGGTGAAGCCACATCTGGAAGACTGCATCCAGTTTGGGCCGCCCACTACAGAAAGGATGTGGACACGTGGGAGAAAGCCCAACAGAGTAACAAAAATGACGAGGGGGCTGAAGCACACGTCTTATGATGAGAAACGGAGGGAACTCTGCTTATTTAGTGTGTGCAAGAGAAGAATGAGGGGGGATTTGATAGCAGCCTTCAACTACCTGAAGGAGGGTTCCAAAGAGAATGGAGAGAGTCTGTTCTCAGTGGTGACACATGGCAAAACAAGGAGCAATGGTTTCAAGTTGCAGTGGTGGTGATCTAGGTTGGATATTAGGAAAAACTATTTTACTGCAAGGATAGTGAAACACTGCAATAGGTTACCTAGGAGCTGGTGAAATCTCCATCCTTAGAGGTTTTTAAGGTGAGTCTTGACAAAGCCCTGGGTGGGATGATTTAGTTGTGGGTACTGCTTTGAGCCAGGGGGTTGGACTAGATGAGCTCCTCAGGTCTCTTCCAACTCTTAATCGTCTATGATACTATGAATGTTCCAGAACGATCACTGGTGGCAAGAAGTAACTGAAGATGGAGGGAGCCGGCAATGCCCCTGATAGTACAGCATGTGCACCCCATCCAAGGGGTGCCAGACCCATGCACCCACAGCTACAGATGAGGGAAATACTTCCGGCACCAGTCCACGTGGTGAGAATACACACCTAATTTGGAACGGACATGAACAAACCCTTGAAGACTAGCATAACTAAAATATAAGCTAAGAACTCAATTCAATTTCTTGCTGTAACGACCACTAAAACCCAGTATCCCCTAGGAAAACAGGTGTAGAGACTGAAGCTTTCTGCAAAGCCAGTTCTAGATGGAGTATCACATTTCAGCTGATTATCTTCTTCTTGTCCCTACCAGAGTTCCCTGTAAGCTGGGCGCTTGTGTGGCTGCTGAGCAGAGATTCAAATGCTGTCCAGCTGATTTGCAGAGCGCCCTCAAATATGTGCGAATGAGCACCAGTAGTAAAAACCTCTCTCAGTGCACATGAAAAGTTTATTTGCACATGGATGAAAAAAATTAGATGAGATATTGGTCTCTACTGATTATCTGGATTCTGAGACAACACGGTAAAGACATCTAACATCTTTTGAGAAACCCTGACCCACCCACAGTGCTTTGACACAGTAAATATGATTGCTAATCACTTCTTTGAGCTGTACTCATCACCTTCTCACATTTTACATCTGTCCCAACTCCTTCCCTATGAATTCCTTCCAGAACATTCCAGAGTCAGAACTTCCACTCTTGCATAATAAAGATCAAGCAGTAAGAAGAGGAAAACCCCACAGACGGTTTTTCTCCTCAATGGCAGTTCTATCTGTGGAGAAGGAGAGCCTAACAGCAAAGCAGGAAGAGATTTCAGTTCAGCACTGGAGCAGAGTAGGTTTCTTGTTCCAAGTGGCTTACAATTTACACCACCACCCAGTGCATCTAGCTACAAAACGTAATGGGGGAAAGCAGCTAGCATGTGTAGATAGTCCGTAAGTCAAATGCTTGTACTATCTTACCTGACTTTGCCTTCATATTGTCCATAGAACAAATGCTGTCGACTCATCCATTCAGCCATTACAAATTCCAAAGCAGGCTTGCCAGTTGGCCCAGGGAGACTACTCAGGAACTCTAACAATGGATCCAGCTGAGAGTGAACCAGGTGAGCAAATACCATGATCAAGGACTACAAAACAAAAAGGAACATTAGCTGTACATATGTAATAATCCAATAATTAATAAGTGCTTTCTCTTTACCAAAGCCCTATGTCCCCCAGAGGCTTCATGCATATGCTAACATTAGGAGGCATACAGAACTCTATGATCCTGTCCACTAGCCAAGAGAGAAGTGAACTAGAATAGGAGTATGTTCTTACCTACAGAATGAGTCAGGACAAGTTAAACTTCTATTCTGCATCTAAAACTCACAAGTCTTCCTAAAGCAAAGATAAAAATGACTAAACCAGCAGAGGTGACACTGGGCTCTCCATCAGAGAAAGTAATGATTTGTGTCATGGTAACAACTAAAAGATGCAACAAAGATCAGACACCATTGTGTTGAATGCTGTACATATAGGCAGAGACAGTTCCTGCCCCAAAAAGCTTCCAACCTAAACAGACATGAGAGACAGAGGAAGAAATTTTCTTATCCCCATTTTTCAGTTGAGGCACAGACATGTCATTTGCCCATGAACATACAGCGAAGCTAATGTCCCAAATCCTAGGTCAGTTCCTTTACCATAAGATCACCCTCACTTCCCCTGGTCATGAAACCTAATTCAGTAGAATTTCTCCACTGGAGATGAATCACCTGGCTTAGTAACAGCTCTGCTCATCTTTAAGCAGCTACCCACCTTTTCATAACTGCTTTTCTTCAAGGTGTGACGAGGAGTCCTGTGGCACCTTATAGACTAACTGAAGTGTAGGAGCATAAGCTTTCGTGGGCAAAGACCCACTTCGTCAGATGCATGCATCTGACGAAGTGGGTCTTTGCCCACGAAAGCTTATGCTCCTACACTTCAGTTAGTCTATAAGGTGCCACAGGACTCCTCGTCGCTTTAGTTCGAATTAGGTGTGTTGCTCATATCCACTCTACCGCACGTGTGCATGTGCCTATGTGCAGTTATTGGAGATTTCTGCCTCAGCAGTGTCTGTAGGGCCAGTTGTTTCCCCACCTTGAGTGCCATGCTCATCACTGGTGTCTCAGTCTCCTCACCACTGGTGCTACACTCCCTCAGATCCTTCATGTGAATAACTCCAACAGAGAGACAGGAGGGAAGGTAAAGCAACAGGCATGAGCGACACATCTCGAACAACAGTTATGAAAGTGTGGGTAACAATCTTGATTCCATTTTAGTTGACCCAAGCAGAATCTTCGAAGTTGGGCTTGGTGTTCACAGCCTTGCAGACTGTAGCACTGCTCTACCAAAGCCGGTGTCTTGAAATTGCTCGTCATCTTATAATGCCATACGAACGTGTAAACAGATGACCAGATTGGGGCCCAAAAGATTTCTTGGATGGCACCTGTAACAAAACGGCTGCCAATGAAGTCCGTGTTCTAGTCAAGTGAGCCCTCAGGACTGACAGTCGGGGATACCTTAGCCAACTCATAGCTGTGACCCAAGACAGCGACCTTTGAGTGAACACTAGGTGACTTTTCATCCTATCTGCCACAAAGAGCTGCATTTGTTTACAGAAAGGCTTTGTTCTATCTCTGTAGAAAGTCAGCACATGCCTGACATCTAGGGTATATAGGTTTGCTCCTGTAATGCATGGGGCATCAGACAGAAGAGATGTAAAACTATATCCTGGCCATACGAAAGCTTCATCAGGAACACCGGGTGCAAGCACAGCAGAGCTTTGTCCTTGAAAAATACTGCATAGGACAGTTCCAAAGTAAGCGCCCTGATCCCCAATACCCTATGGGCTGACAGTGATCAGGAAAGATCTTCCAGGAGAGAAGCAGGAAGCAAAGAGAGGATCCATGAGCCTATACTGCACAAGATTCAAGTTCTGACGAAGTGGGTCTTTGCCCACGAAAGCTTATGCTCCTACACTTCAGTTAGTCTATAAGGTGCCATAGGACTCCTCGCCGCTTCTGCAGATTCAGACTAACATGACTCCCCCTCTGATAAGTTCCAAGGGGAAACTTGTCCCTTGATGTGTGGGTAGAGGAACTCTAGCACTTTCAAGAACTGTGCTGTCATGGGCTAAGTGAAGAGGGACTTGCCTTGGACTTGGGGGCAGGAAGGGAGGGAGGGAGCACTGACCACATACATGCATGCAGCCAAGTGCCCCAGATGTAGGCAAGTGTGGGCTGTAGTGTCTCTTAAATGGCAGATCAGGTCTGCAATGGCCTGAAACCACACTTCTGAAAGGAAGACCCTGGCTTGTTTGGAGTAGAGGACAGTGCTGATGAACGCTAAAGCTTGAACTGATGTTAACAGACTTGTGTGTTTATGAGCAGACCCAGAGTACTGTTGGTGGAGCGCACCAGGTGTTCCAGCATGGCCAATGAGCAGGTCATTGCCCCATCTGCCAGCATCCTGATGGCACCGATGCTGGCTTGAATGCCCAATCTCATTGCTGAGGCTGAGGTGACAGACTGAAGTGGCCCTTGGATCCAGAGGAGCCTCCTTCCGGAGAACACAAAGGCACTGTAGAGGCCTGGCTTTGCCTTGAGATTATGGAGAATGGTGCTCCACCCAAGGAGACTACTACCGACCGTCTGCCAACCAGGTGGGATGCCAACAAGAATGGAGACAGGGAGATTATTCTTCCGCAACTGTGGTGACTGAGACCGGCATTGGGACAACCACCTCCAGGATGTTAAGTCATGGTAAAAGGGAGGCCAGTACCTCCCTGTTGGTGAGCTGCACGGAGAGGCTGTCATTTGTGATGCTGGTGACTCACAGTAAGTTAGTGCAGATCTTGATGATGGCACTGGCATCCTGCAATGTGGAGGTGGAGCATGCACCATTGTCTGGAGGGACTGGTGGCATTCCACCACTCTCTGGGGAGCTTTATCAACTGGCTTGTCCTCTTGGGCATTCATGGGTGGCATTGGTTATGCTATCAGTGCAGGGGAAAGCCTGTGCTCTGAAAGGGGTTGGTGCCAGGAGGGGGACTGGTCCAATCCCATTCATAGGACCCAGAGGTGGACTTTTTCCTGCACTAATGGTTCCAAATAGAGTGGGCCAACTGCAAGGCTCCAGGATGGGGAGGTAATCTGGGATACGCTCCTTTCAACTTTTGTAGGCACTGGGGAGCAATGTTTCTTTGCTCTTTTCTTTGGTAGCACTGATGCAGAGTGGTGCTAGAAAGACCTTGGTGCTGATGGCACACTTCTCACCAATGCCAAGGTGCTGGGTGACTCATGTCAGGATGGCTTAGGTGCGGAGTAGAGAACTGACTTCAGAAGGAGAGCTCTGAGCCTGATGTTTCTCCCCTTCTTCTGGGTGCAAGGTTGAAAGTTTTTACAAGTCCAGTATTTCTGTTATCTACACTTCCTCCTGGCAGTTGAGAGAGCTGCCCTGGGGGTCCCTAACAAGCATAGGCCTATTACAAAAAATGGCAGGGCTTAAAGCCAGGAGACAGGAGCAAGTCCCCACTGGGAACCAACTACTAAACTAACTCAGCAATTAACAGGTATGTAGCAGTAAAGATAACTTGCATGAAACCTAAAGGCACAAAATTCAAGACAGAAAACGGCAAGCCTTAAGGAGCAAGGAAGGGCACGCCAACTGACCACTCTGGGTGGTAAGAAGAAACCAAGAGGCCTTAGGGCTGGCAGCATCTACCTCATCAGTGCATGAGTGCGGTACTCAAGGGGACAACACAACTGGCTCTACAAATGCTGCCCAGGCAAAAATTTCCAATGACCATGCAGGCCCACTGTGACAGAACTGACACGAGTAAGCACTCAAAAAAGAATATAAGGTTTTTCAAAATAGCCTCTGTTTGTTAGATTAGACTGCAGCTGCACAGCTTCTTTTGCTTCCCAGGGTCTCAGGACACTGACTGCAAATGTGCACTACAAAACTTCCAGGAATACGTGGGTCTATGAGGAGAAAGTATGAAGTACCTCCATTTGTCCCACTTCAGTACCCTTGGGGATAAGAGATTGCAACTGACCTATGGGAAAAGTGCTGTTAGCAACTGCAAACAAATGCTTTTACCTTCCTAAAAAGGAATGTTTTATCCCTCTCACTACCCTACTGCTATACTTGTGGCCAGCTGTCATAGAAGTACCTCCTCTCTTCCTGAGCAGGCAGCAAAAGAGGACATTTGACACTTCATATTAAAAGGCTCAGAGAGGGTAGAATAGAGTACAAAAGTCACCCCCTGGGAAGATTTTACATAATAGCCAGACTGGATCAGACCAAAGGTCCATCTAGCCCAGTATCCTCTCTGCCAACAGCGGCCAACACCAGGTGCCCCAGAGGGAGGGATCACAACAGAGAATCCTCACATGATCCCTCCCCTGTCACCCATCTCCAGAGGAACAGAGGCTAGACACCATTCCTACCCATCCTGGCTAATAGCCATTGATGGACCTAAGCTCTATGAATCTCTCTCTTTTCTGAACTCTATTAAAGTTCTAGCCTTCACCGCATCCTCTCTAAACAGAGACAAATTATTAAAAGTGCTTATACACAAATGCCAGAAGTCTAAATAGTAAAATGGATGAACTAGAGTGCCTAGTTTTAAAGGAGGATATTGATAGAATAGGCATCATGGAAACTTGGTGGAATGAGGACAATCAATGGGACACAGTCATACCAAGGTACAAAATATACCAGAAGGACAGACCAGGTTGTGCTGGTGGGGGAATATTTTCCTCACATTCCAACACTATCAATGTATTGATTAAGGCCAGTAGGACCACTATGATGATCTAGTTTCACAGACACTAGAATTTCACCCCATTATCCCTGCACCACACCCTGTAACTTCTAGTGGAGTGAGAGCCGGATTTCCCAAGTGGAGGGTCCTGGATCCACCTGTGAGTCACAGAAATTATCGTAAGTGGGTTGTGTTTTCCTGGAAATAATCCTTCGCATCCTAAATCTCTCATTTCCCCCATGCAGCAGACAACTGGGTAGGAAGCAGGATGCGGTTAGCAGTAGCCCAGAGAAAGTGGTCAGAGCCAGCAAGTGGCATCAACTGCCTGGTATCAATTGAAGTCCAGTTGCTGGGCAACAGGGATCAGCTAGGACCGCAGGAGGGGACTGAGGTACAAAAGTGAAAGTAGTAGGGTTGGAGAAAGACCAGGCAGGTGACTGGGAGGGCTGAGAAAAGGAGGAGCAGGGTGGAGGGTCCCCCAAAAAGGACATGCCTTAGTAAAACATTTGGAAATAACTGAACTAGAGCACTGGTCACCAACCAGTAGACAGGGAGCCTTTGACAGGTGATCCTGACAGATCTGGCCAGGAGGCTATCATGTGCTGGCTCTTCATCTGCCCCTCTCAGCACTGCTGTGCTGCTCCTGCCCTCTGCCTTGGAGCTGCTCCCCTGGGAGCCTCCTGCTTGCTGTGAAGGGCACAGGAAGAAAAGGAGGCACTCATGTCAGGGTGACCCTCCCCCCACTCTGTACCCCATCTCCACAGAACTGGGGCAGGGATGGAGAGAGTGTGCTGGCTGCTCTTGGGAGTGGTGCACTTCCAGGGCATGAGGTGAGCCTGCCTTAGTCCCACCCAGAAGCCACCTGTGGTGAGCAGTGCCCAGCTGGGGCCTGCATTCCAAACCTCGGCCCCAGCCTTGAACCCCTCCTGCACCCCTAACTCCCTCCCAGAGCTAACACCCTCAACCCCCTCCTGCACCTCAGCTCCCTGCCCCAGGCTCAGCTCCGAACCCCTCCCACACTCCAAATCCTTTAGCCCAAGCTCAGAATCTGCAGCCCCCTCCCCTGCATCCCAACCCCAAAAATGAGTGAGAATGGGAGGAAGGGAGGATGGAGTGAGCAGGGGTGGAGCCTCTGAGAAGGGGTGGGAAGAAGGCGGGGCAAGGATGTTTGAGTTTGAGGTAGACCCTGAATTGCATTTAAATTCTAAGTGACCTTGTGCTTAAAAAGGTTGGAGACTACTGAACTAGAGTATCTTCTAGAAACAACTCCCACCTTAATTTAGAGACTAAGTGATGGAGAACATCACATCCCTACGTAAGCTGTTCTAACAGTCACTTCTCCTCACGGTTAAAAATATGAACCTCATTTCTACTCTCAGTTCATTGTGTCTCAGCTTTCACATACTGGATCTTGTCCTGCATTTGTGTGCTATATATAAAAACAGGTGCTATCAAACCTCCATCCAATTTATACATCTGGGGGCTGCATTAACTCTCTGCACCAACTGAACATGAGCTCCCAACATGATGCTGTGGCAAGATACTATGATCTGTAGACTCTCTGCAGAGTCACCACTTCCAGGACATAGTCCCCCATTCTGGGATCAGAACCTTGCATACGGATGCATTAAAACCTTGCATACGGATGCATTAAAATAGATTTGAATGAGACCCAGTTTACCAGTATTGTTCTGTTAACAGATAATACAACCAAGACAAATTTTTCCAGTAATGGTGTACCATGTATGATGAAAGGCTTTACATTTCAATTCCTCTAATCCCCCAGGACAAGTACAATGTCCTCAAGAGAGCCATTTTGTAGCATACTTAGAATCTGCAATTGCATAGGCAATGAACACTCAGGCATGTAATGTAAACATATTCTTCAGTGACAGGCAATGTTTCTTTTCCTGACACTTAATACCATTGTTTCCACTAGGCCTCCAGCCTGCTCACCTGCATTACACTGAGTGTCTCAGCTTGTTGCATTTTGCTCAAGATTGCTCTCAGAATCTGGTCCAGGTTCTCTCCCAGCTCACTTCCTGCTTTGGAAATCAGTGTGGAGACTAATCTGCCCACAAAGGCAGCTGTGAACTCTGAGGTTCGCGGATCCAGGAGCTGGCTCACCACCTGCATGACATACCACAGCCCATTGTGGCCTTGCTCATCATGCCACTGTGCAATCTGTTCTAGTGCTACTGAGACGTATGCACGCAGACACTCACCACCATTCTGGATAATACAAGAGAAAATTACTGTGTTAGAACTGTCAAGACTCTCAAAACGAACAGCATCTGTTGTGGGAACCCTTAAGTAAGCCATTCACCACAGCAGAAAGCACCTGAAACAGGAAGAAAGAATTAGTATCCAAGATGTGCATGACGGGTAAAATGGTGGCTATTGTGAGAAATCCAATGTTCAGAAAATCTTGAGTGAGAGTATCTGCAATTCTCTTTCAATTAATCTCATCTGCAGGTACACTACAAGAGATTCTGATCCAGTTAGAGTCCACAGTAGCTAAAAAGCAGCATGAGGGACAAAAACGACCTAGGTTTCCACAGAAAAGCTGTGTGTCTGTTTCAAAAAAGACTGTAGTGCAGCAATCCAGCATACCGAATTCCCCTTACTCTTGCTGGAGCACTGCTCAGCACTTGTCTGCCCTGTTTTCATAGGCCACACTCGCATGAGAAATGGCAGATGGAACCACAAAGTTGCTTCTCTCTGTCTGAAGGTCAGGATGAGTACATGACCCACCTCGATCTATTCACAAACACGTTTCAGGAGCTGGAAGGCTCCGAAGGCCTTACTTCCTACCACCACCAAAGTCCCAATCTCTTGCATGGAGCTGCTAAGACAACCTCACCAGGTGGCGGCGGCAGCAGCAGCTGCTGCCAAGTACAGCACAAAAGATTGCTGCTGATGCCTCTTCCATTCTCACCTGCAGAAGCTCTGGGAGTTTGGTAGAGGGGAAAAGGAAGAAAATATGGTGAAGCAGGAGCTGGCCATGACAGGGGAACAGCAGAAAACCAACCCCTCCAAAAATGTTCAGTTCTGAGAAAATCAGGGACCGCTAGCAGGCAGTGAAGCCTGACCTGAGCATTCTCACTCCCTCTGCTTCGTTAGCCTCTTCCTTTGATAAATGCTGAAACTGTGGCAAAAGGGGAATTGGAATCAAATGTTCTCCCACCCGACACACACACTTTAACTGGGGAGACTTGCCTATTCTGAAGCAAGGCCTGGGCTTCTCATGCCTGAGGCTTAGACAAAGTCTCTGCCAATCAGTTTATTACATGGGGAAAAGAAACATGTTCTTGGCATGCTCCAGAGTCCTAAAGAGAAAAGAACAGGATTGGTCCTGACTCGCCAGCTAAAAGGAGGGTCAGCAAAACTCACCACACGCCAAAATGAAGATGGCAACAATTATTTATCTGAGACAGGAATGTCACTTAGGCTTCTGGCACAATGCCAGCGTGGCTGCTGGTGGGGGTCAGATTGACCCTCACAAGGCAAAACGACACCTCAAACACTAAGTAAAGCACTATAATCATAGAACACTAGAACTGGAAGGGACCTCAAGAAGTCATCAAATCCAGTCCCCTGCCCTCACAGCAGGACCAAGCACTGTTTAGATCAGCCCTGACAGGTGTCTGTCTAACTTCCTCTTAAATATCTCCAGTGATGGAGATTCCACAACCCCCCTAGGCTATTTATTCCAGTGTTTAATCACCATGACAGGGAGGAAGTTTTTCCTGATGTCCAACCTAAATCTTTCTTACTGTAATTTAAGCCCATTGCTTCTTGTCCTGTCATCAGAGGCCAAGGAGAAGAATTTTTCTCCCTTCTCCTTATAAAACTGTTTTAGATACTTGAAAATTGCTATCATGTCCCCTCTCAGTCTTCTCTTTTCTATACTAAACAAACCCAGTTATTTCAGTCTTCCCTCACAGGTCTTGTTTTCTAACCCTCTAATCATTTACTGAATTGTCTCACCCAATTGGGCTGGCATGACCCTGCAAATCCCTACCCCTTCCCTATAGGTCTTACCTGCATGGTAGCATTGTCATCTGTGTGCAGGCTGCACTGAGCCACCGCAGGGAATGCCTGGCAGATCAAGAGCTGGGAAAGAGGAGGTTTTGTATTCCTCACAACAGTGGTTAATATATCAATAGAAGTCTGAAAGGGGAAAGCACAAAAATAGAAGCCCGTTTAAACAGTAGTCACAGCATAGAATCCCAGCATTTCCTCAAAGCTTGGGAGGACAGGGTGAGGTGCAAAGCCCTACTTATGGGGGGAGGGCACATAATGACAGTGAAGATTCTCCTGTGCTGCCTTGCTCATAGGGCTGGGGAAGGAAGCAGATGATTCGTTTTGTTTTCTTCAAAGGGAGCTCACTTTTCACAAGTTTAAGAAATGTTCTGGTTACTAGTGAGAGCAGGATGCCGTCCATTACACACACGGCAGACAAACAGGAGTCATTTCTCCCCTCAGCCCACTTCAAACCTCTGCTGGCAGCTGACTGACAAGAGTGAGCACTCAGAAGCAGTTCTTTTCCTCTACAGGGAAATATTTCAGCAGCAGGTGAAGGCCTGTGTTCAGCAGCAGGTAGTTTTTAAACCCCATTTTTTAGCATCAGTTGTGTGTGTCACAGCGGCTCTGATCATTTCCACTTCAGAGTTCCCCGGCATGGATTATATTTTGTAAGAAAACAAAACAGTTTTGTTTCAGTTTTTACCTCTAACACATCTGAGAAACACAAGTAGCAGGGAGGTTTGAAGACAGGTGGCCTATAGCAAAGGTACTTTCACAGTCACTCTTAACATGCTGCTCTGCTGGCACAGAGCTGCACGTGAACTTATTTTAAACAGGCTTGTATGGTGAAAAATTTTGGCTAATCTCATTCATCAAAAACATTCGATGGCAAACCAGTAAGGACATGTATAAATAAACACTGGATGAGAACTGAATCTTCCCTCCTCTCAACAACTATGCACCTGTAGGCATAGGGCTCTTCAACAACACGGCCAACTCTTATCAGCTGAAAGCTCAAAAGAGGGTTCAACAAAAATCAGTTACTTTAGAAAGTGCTTCTCAACATGCAAGAAAGTTCTCAAAAAGCTGGGCTGAGCAGCATGGAAGGTATGTATGTAGACCTTTCATGTGTCTATTCAAACCACCGTCATGACATTACTGCACTAACTACCAGTGCAGGGGCAACTGTGGGAGCAATTGACTCCCTTTACCAGTTAATTCAAATCTGAGTGTACTATATATGTGGTGTTTCATTGTACAGAAAGGTACAAACTCACATGGGAGGGCACGCATAGCTTAGGTTCTAAGAAGCTGTGCATGCTCCATGTTCATGACAAGTAATATGCACTGCTGGTGAATGCCCTAATATAGGAAATCTTCAGAGGCTGCACTATTTCAAGTGGTAAAAAAGAGCTCAAGATCTTTGGGCTACAGCTATACTACTATAGTAACCTGATCTAAAGTTTATGGACGCCAGTTACTTTATTCACGCACCTTAGACTGAACTGCTGCAAGGTCTACACTGCAGATGTGTGGGGTTCAACAGGGGACTCTCCTGTTGACTTACCTTACTCTTCTCATCAGGTGTAGAGTACAGGGCTCGATTGGAGCGCGAGCTGTGGTTAATTTGGCAGGTATTCACTAGACTCGCTAAATCGACTGCCACTGGATCGATCTCAGAGCATCGATCCTGGCTGTAATGTAGACCTGACCTTGGTAAAGAATAAGGCTGACAGAACTGAGAGATCAAGGACACTGATGAGCATTTCTTAGAAACCTTTGAGTCTCTTTCCCCAAAGGAAAATCTCAGTCACTTAAGACATGGCTCAACAGCAGTTTATGAGCATCCTTTTATGCCAAAAATAGGTTGATGGAGTGGCAATGGCATAAAGCCAATGTTTTCAATCGCTGCAGCGAGAATTCAACCTGCAACTAAACCATTTTTTGCCATAGTACTTACTGCACAAAGCCCTGCTGGAATCTTATCAGCAGGAGCCTGCATGATGCTGACGAGAGTTGGGATTAGTCTCATCTGCATTGGACCCTGGCAGGCTTCTATCTGTGCTAGCTCCTTAAAGATATCTTGGGCGAGAGAGGCAACAACAGGATCTAGAGTGAGAAAGCACCAGTTACTAAGACAAACTAATGAGCATTGGTCTAGAGTTTTGTTGCTTTCGTTTCAATATGGTAATCTGCAATTTCATTACAAGAAGTTACAAAAGCAATCTTTACTGGACCATCCAGTTTACTTTCAGCCTCAGTCAGCAACTAGAAGCAATGGAAGAAAAGTCAAACAGTTTAGGTATGGCTATAGGGCATTTACTAGACAATTCTGTATATGAATATAGACTCTCGGTATATTTGTGTCTATCACGAAAGAATCCAAGTACCATCCTTTATAACAAATCTGATACAACAGGGAACTGGGAATAATGTACCATTTCACCTTCACGTCCTTGCCCTTAATTGCCCCTTAAACCAGTTCAGTAGGTACAATGTTCAGTACAAATTATTTTAGCATTAAATTCTATCCATGAACAGTTTGGTGCAGAATTGATGAAGTTTAACTGCTCCACAGAAACTGTCAGGGTGAGGCTGGAAGTTCTGACACTGGGTAGGAAACCCTAGCTTTGGCACCTAGAAATATAGTCAATAGTTTTTGGTGTACAGGAAGCAGAATAGGTCTTCAATACTGGGAAGGGGTTTCCCTTCAGAAAGGGACAGAGTTAATTCAAATTCCTCATTCTGGTAACCCTAACAACTTTAACAACTTTAACAGCACTTAGTTACCTCAGTGGACAGCTACCCCATATCAACAATGATAAAAAGAAGCAGAACTGATATTTCTATTAAGATATCTGACAGTAAATAGTTGAAATTTATCTACAGCTAACAAACGTAAAAAGTTAAACTTCTCTTATACAGCTACACTGATTAAAGGTGTCTGGACACTCAGGCTGGCATTACTGAAGGACAAAATTAACATTTTAAATATTTTTGTTGCAACTATAATAGCCAAGAAATGTAAATTCAAAGATTTTCAGGTCAGAAGGGATGATCAAGATCATAACACAGACCGTATAATTTAATTCAGTGATTTCTGCCTTAAGACCATAACTTCGTCATACAATCTCAATTTAAAGATTTCAGGAGATGTAAAATCTACTATGACCACAGGAAAGTAGTTCCAATAATCACCTTACACTGGAACAACTTTGTGCTTATCGTCCATATGAATTTATTTTGTTTCAGCTTCCAGTTATTGGATCTTATTAGGTCTTTGTTAAGTTAAATGCATGGTTGGCAAGAATGAATCCTGCCACACAGTTTCTCTATCACCACATATCAGTGATACATACCAGCTCTGGGTCTAAGACTCATTTTGCCAGATTTCTATCTTGACTACAATAATCAATTTTAGCACAATTTATTTCTTACAATCTTCATATAGATTTTATAAGTCATTGTGTCACTTTGTTGCTTCAGCCTGGTGATGGCACGGCTGATTCTAATCTTATGGAAAAGAGGGATGTAAGCAGTGTATCTTTTGTCCCACTGTTTCCAGCATCTCAGGCCTCCATCATATGCTTCCTTGACCTTGGAGACACTTTTTTGAGGGTCGACAGCTATGTCAAAGCTTTTACACTAGGGGCTCTGAAAGAATAGCAGGCCCATCTCCAGGCCTTCTAGATGCAGTGAGCCCTTCAAGAAGGTGTCTTGGAATGGGCAGTTTGTGGCTGCAATACTGAGCATGAACACAAGAGGCCTTCTTCAGTCCTAAAACCTATTCCCATTGCGAAAGGGAAGTCTGCAGTGCTGCCAATGGTTCCCAAATCTGGTTCCAAGCCAAAACTAGATCCACGTGAAAATCACCCCACAACCTAGAAAGCCTTCTACCAAAAACCTGTAGGCACAGACAGAATTGAAGAAAAATCTCTGTATGAGCCCATATAACCTAGAGCGCGAGTCAGGCCATTACTTTCTCTTCTGGAATTCCTCTTGTACCTCCACTCACCTCGGGCATTTTCACTATGAAGGGGATAGTTTGTGAGGTTACTTGTCAGGTACATGTAGCCTGTCATGCCAAAAAATTGAAGAAGAAATCCTTCAGAAACCCTGAAGAGTGTTCCCTTTTCCACGCATTACTGAAAGTAGCCTTTTTGGTGTCTTAACCAATCTACAAGGAGAGGTTACATGGATTAGAGACATTTATGTTTGATTCTCAGCTTGCTTTAGGATATTCCACAGAGGCAAGGCAAGCTTGTGCTTTCCTCTCACTTCTTCCAAGAGTGGTCTCCCACCTACATCATTCCTGTACTGTTGTTAATAGTTCCTCCCCCAGGTCTCATGCACGCACAAGCAAGGGAAAGTAGGATATACACATTCAATGATAAAGGGTCATAGGTCCAAACCATTTAGAAAAACTACTCGGATGGCTAGACACTGACTATGGTGAGCCGCATCATGCTGAGAGTGGATTAAAGATTACATGGAGATTTATACCTGAGTCAGGACCCACTCCATCATGGCCACTTCCAGAGCTTGTCATCAAAATGTTGTTGTGGAGATTTCTAGAATGTCTACATGGAGTTTAATACCCAGGTTTATTCAGCATTACTTGCTGGACTTGGCACTAGGCTAGGGCTGTCCACCATTCTGATATAGTTAATCTGGACCTGGTAATTAACAACTTAACAAGGGGATTCAGCTCATCAGCTGGAAACTGTTAAATGGGAGTCAAGAAGAGAGAAAGAGGGACAAAGAAATTCAGGATCTGAGAGGTGAGATCTCTTTCCTTGTCTCCTCTATGTCTAGGCGGTAGGTTACAGCTTGGGAAAAGCTTTATGGTGATGGGACATGAAGCTCCATATGAAATTGTGAATAAAGTACACTGTGGGGAACTGTGTGCGAGGACTGTTTGCAAAAAATTCAGAGTGCAGGAGCCCACCCTATGAAGAGTGACAGCTTGTCAAGGATAACAAGGACTGTCTTTGTTCTGGGTCTGCTGAAACTCCTAGGTTTTCTGTAACTCCTTTTGCTATTCAACTACACAGCACAGAAGTTCCCCAAACTGCCCAGTCTGCTGTGACTTCTCCTTAGCTTACTCATTCTGGTCCTTTGCCTACATTAGAGTGGGAAATCCTGGACAAGCTCCCATTTGTCACAGGAAGGGCTCCCACATCCTGAATTACTCTTTGCACACAATCCTCATGTGCTTTTACGTAATGTACTTTACTCCAAACATCTTATGCAGCTTCATGTTCCATTACCAAGAGACTTTCCCCAAGCTTCAACATACACCCAAGGCATAGGTAGGGGAGAGAGATCTCACATCTCAGATCCAGAGCTGCTTTGCCCTTCCTTCCCATTTCCTTCCTGTCTCCCATTTAACAGTCCCCAGCTGATGAGCTGACTCTCCTTGTGTGACGGCGCGTTGGGGGTCCCCCGTCTCCTGCACCCCGAAATGGCACAAACAGACTGCACCAGCCGGTGGAATAGAGGAAGTTTATTGCCTCTCCAGGATACAGCACAGCACAGATGGAATCTGGTCACAGAGCTGGGCTAGGATGCCTCAGGCCCCCTTGAGATGGGGGAGACTGGGCCCCTAAACTCCAGCCCCTTCCCCTAGGCTCTCCTCCATGCTCTCAGACAGAACTAATTAAATTCCCTTCCAGCCCTGCCCCCCAGTCAGGGCAGCATTCCACCTTCCTTTGTTCCTCTCCATGGGGGGTGTCTGGCCACTGGTTCAACAAGTTTGGCACTACCTTTGCATAGTGAGGTTTTCCCTGCTGGGTCTTGCTCCAGACAGCAGGGGTCACCACAGCCCAGCAAGTACCCCCACTACGTCACACCTTGTTAACTGGTTCATTGCCTGGTCCTAATTATTTCTCAATTTGACCCACAAAAGGACACTTACAAAGTGAGCCAACCCTAGTCTACTCCGACTGTCAATCTCTACTTTTTAAATTAACAGTTCCTCGGTTCACCCTCCACCTGGACTCCACTGCTTGCTACAATTCCCAAAAAATGTAAACAAAAATATACACAAAGATAGTGCCATTGGATGTTTATGCTTCCTGTCTCCCTTTCCCTCTTCCTCAGAGTTCTTTAATTCTCCCTGAACTCTGCTCTGATCATAAGGGAATGTACCAGCTTCTGCCTCAGTTCTTTTCCTTTGTACCCCTGTAAAACATTCAATACGGTGAAGGCACAGATGCCATTTCAACATGATGCAGCTTGCTAAGGAGTTATGAGAGCAAGGCACCAGGAGGCCCAATTCCCAGAAGTGCGCACGTGCAGAGGTACCCGTCACAGAAACCACTGCTAACAAGTAATACTTCTTTAGACAATGCTGATATCTATTGCAATGCCACATTCTCAACAGAGGTGCTTATTTATTCTACTGACTCATAAAATGTGGGCAGCCCAATACTTTGGCGAGGCTCAATACACAACTCAGATATTAAGGAAATCTGTCCTGTCCCCACTTTCATCAATGGATACAGACTTGTCTACATACTAGTGACTGATGACAGCGCGATGTTAACAGAAATCTAATAAGAGGATGACTTCAGGCAGCAAGGTATGCTGTAACAGACAGCTGATCAAGAGTAAACAATCTGAGATTTTACTGGATAAACTCCATTTAAGGAAACAAAAAGAAAGCTGAATGCAAAATAATACTGCTTCTTAAGAATGACTTAAAATCTCCAACTTCAGGACAGTAAATACTATCCTATTATATACAAAATATCCTCTTGTGACCTACAAGTCAGCCAGACCTATAGGAAGAAAGTTTCCTCCACACACACAACTGCATAGCATACCAGTTATTGCTGCTTTGATGTGGGATCAAATCAAAACTATTGCTAAGGATCGCAAGAGATGGAGAATGACTGTAGAGGCCCTATGCTCTAAAGGACAAGTAGATAGAATAGTGCACTAAGCTATTGCAAAATTCTTATCAAAGAGAAGGTTAAAATAATATGATCATGGTCTATCTAAAAATACCTATGTGGGAAGAAGATTTCAATGGCAGAAGGCTCTTTAATGTAGCAAAGGCAGCCCAGTATCCAATGGCTGGAAGCTAAAACTAGACAAATTCAGCATAGAAATAAGTGTAAATTTTTGGAACTACTTACCAAGAGAAGATCTCAGAAGTATAGCCATGGAAGACTAGAACTAAAGAAAAAAACCTTAACAAAAATATATAAATCCTAGAAGTGGGTTGTGACCACAAAAGCTCATAATACTATTTATATATTTTTGTTAGTCTCTAAGGTACTACTATTGTTTAAGGTGGTGGGTTTTTTGTTTTGTTTGTGTTTTTAACTAAGAGCAGTAACTGATTCTCCATCACATACAATTTGTATACAGGTTGAAACTCACGAATCCGGGACTCTCTGATCTGTCAACATCCATGGTCCAGCAGGATGGGAGTAGGAATCAGCTGTAAGAACGGTGGGAGGACGACTGTGGAGCCCTGGCTGGACCAGCAGCGGCTGGGCCAGGTGGTGGTTGAGCGCCCCAGCCTAGGAACCCCTGGCACGGGCAAGGCCAGGTAGCAGCCAGGAAGCCCTTGTCATGGGGAATTGCTGGTGTCAATGGAGCCAGGCAAGGCAGCCAGAGAGCACAGAGCAGCAGTGTGGCTGGAGGCAGCAGGCAGTCCCAGCTGCAGAACCTTGGGAAACCCGGGCTGGGGAATCCCCATCAACAGCAGGGCCAGGCAGGGGCTGGGAAGCCTCTGGAGCAGCAGGACTGGGAGTGGCTAGGCAGCCCTGGGCAGGGGAACCCCTGGGAGCAGCAGCCCAGCAGGGCAGGTGGTGACAGGGTGGCCCCTGCATGGGAGTCCAAGGGGACCATGGTGGCATGGGGCAAACTGTAGGGTGGGGAGCACCAGCTAGGCCAGCATTAGCATGGCCAGCAGCAGGGCAGGGAGTCCCAGAGAAAGGAATCTGGGCAGCCAGCAGGGAGGCAGTGACCTCCCCTGGTCTTGCAAGCTCCCTGGTTCAGGTTCGTTCAGGTCTCAAGGGTGCCAGACCAGGGAGATCCAACCTGTAACAAAATTGGATGCCTTCTTATAAAAAATGGGTGAACCAGAGCATAACATGTGGACTAGGTACAGGAGTCAGTGGGTACAATTTTCTGGCCTGTGCAATACAGGATGTCAGTCTAGATCAGTGGTCCCCAATGCGATGCCCACGGGTGCCATGGCGCCTGCCAGGGAATTTGTGCACACCTGCCTAGTGCCGCCCCCGGGCTCCCAGCGCATGCGCGGTCCCCGCCCCCGGTGCATGCATGGCCCCAGCCCCTGGGTGGCCTGGCAGCCCTGTGCGGCGCTCCCACCCAAAAAGGTTGGGGACCACTGGTCTGGATGATAATCAGCCCATCTGGCCTTGAAATCTAGAAATAATTTATTTCCAAAGTGTCATTCTGTACATTTTAAATGCCAACTTTACAGGTAACCTGCAGGAGATTCATCTTGACCAGATGCTATTAGCGAAGACAGGGCAATATTGAAAAGAGATGCTTTGGGCACATACCATTACTGTACTTGAGGAAGATTGCTATGGTGAAGGGACAGATTTTGTTCTCCACATTTGCTGTAAATGCTGGATCTACTGTGCAGACAATACAGAGTGTTTCCATCACAAGATTGAGGACCTCTGAACTGAACTGAGCTGCCAAGTGGATCAGTCCATCCAAGATACTGGGAAGGAAAGGCTGCAATACATGGGTGCTTTCGGAGATCTTCAGCTGGTCACAGTAACTAGATAAGGAATTCATGGCACAAAACACACAGATATAATATTTACAATGGAACTAAAGAGGTCAGATGCATAGATCACAGTATCTTATCAGTGGTTCTCTCCTCTTTCCACTGTCTTCATCTCAACTGAATGGTTTTTGTTTTGCCCACCTTACCTCTGTATTTTCTTTCCCACTAAGCCACTGTCTCCCACTTTTTGAATGTATACCTTCAGCTTACTTTTCCCCACCTCTTCAGGCTACTGACATCTGCAATGGCCTCAGGCTACTGAGCTCCATAACCCAGCCCTCTTTTTCAGGAGCTCATCACCATAAAAGGGTATTCCAATTTTATATAAATAAAAATACACACATACACACACACACACACACACACTTTTATAGCTAAGAGGAGTAAGTGATCAATATCCAGTGTTTAACACTGATCAATATCCAGTGTTTAATTTAGTATGCGAGAGAGAACGAACAGAAAGAAAAAAGGAGAGAGGAAAAAGAGATCAGTTGGCATTTAGTTTTAAACCCAGTGATACTTGGATCTTCTGGCAAGTTCCAGGCCCTCGTCTAGTTCTACGAAAATGCTATTTCCTGGGCCTACTTGTTTCCCTCTCCGAGAGAGATCCTACAACTCCAAGCCACTTCTGGGTTACTCACTCAATATGCAGCCTATGATCACAAAACCATACAAAAAAGCCAAATAGGGTCATACCAAATTCACAGCCATGGGGGGAAGGGGGGGGGGGGATCCAAAAGCAATGCAGAGGTAAGGATGGCAATACCATGCCATTCTATATTCTTACTACTTCACTGCTGTGGTCAGTGACTCTGCCTTCAGAGCTGGGCTCCCAGCCAGCAGCCACTGCTCTCCAGCTGCCCAGCTCTGAAGGCAGCACTGAGGTGGGGCCAGACATGAAGTTCAGGCTATGAGACATGGCTCTGGACTGGGGCAGTGGGTTACAGTGCAGGCTCTGGAGTGGGGCTGGTGCTGAGGGGTTTAGGCTTTAGGAAGGGGCTCTAGGCTGGGACCGAGGGGCTCAGAGGGCAGGTGAGGAATGAGGACTGAGACATGGGGTTGGGATAGGAGGAGCACTCAGGGTTGCAGGTTCTGGGCTCCATTTACCACTTTAAGAAGCTCATGGAAGAAATGGCATGTCCCCCATCTAGAGCCTACGTGTGGCCAGAGGGCTTTGCATTCTTCCCCACCTGCAGGCATCACCCCTGCAGCTCCCAATGGCCACAGTTCCCAGCCAATGGGAGCTGGTGGTGTATTGGTAAGGGACACTGCATGGAACTCTGTGGCTGCTCCTACACATAGGAGGCAGGAGGACAGGCTGCTGCTTCTGGGAGCCATACAGAGCCACAGCACATGTGGAACAGGGCACGCGCCAGTCCCCACTCCCCAATAGAAGTGCAAGGGACATATTAAAATGGCTGACAGGCCAGATGCGGCCCACAGACTGTAGTTCCCCCTCACCCTCAGGTCTAAATGTTGCTTGGTTCTGCCATGAGTGCAGGGGATGGGACTTAATGGTCTCTCAAGGTCCCTTTCCAGTCCTATGACTATGATATGCTTACCCCCAGATGGCTCTTACTGCGGAGATTCGGACTGAAGGAGGCTGGGTCTCATGCAGACCACTGACTGTGGCCTGCAGAAACTGCTGGATTAATTCTGGAGACATAGCAACTGTAAAGCGACTGGCAGCCCAAAGAGCACGACCAAGCAGGAAAGGAGACACTGAAAGAAGACAGAATTCTTAAAATTCAGGAACTATTGCTATTCCTCCCCCCTGCCCCAACATACACAAAGCCCTGCCATCTTTAAAAAAGCATCATTTGTTTGATGACAGTAATAGAAAAAGTTTCTCTACAAGCAGGACTACCAAACACCTTTCCTGTGGACTGAATCCAGGCTGAAAGACAGAAGAAAAAGAGGTTACATACCTGTAACTTGATACCTATGTGTAACTCTTCATGTGGGTATGCAAGCACTTTATGCACCTGAATCTACAACATATTCAGAGTACTGTTCATTGGTGCACACTTCTGTGCTCAGCACCAAAGGTACAAAAAGTATAGGTCAACAATCTCTCCATTTCCTTCTCTATTTAAGCCTAGTTCTGATGCAAAGCAGAGGAGAAAGAGTGGGTAGTGGAACAGACACAGGGACCACTCATCTTGAAGAACCTCCAATTACAGGAAAATGATGTCTATTTCTGGCACCCAAACATATTCCACGCAGGGGTGACGCGCAAACGGTACTCAAATAGGAGATGTGGTGTGCAACGATGCAGGTGGTGCAGATGTCTACTGCTGCAACTCTAAAGGCTGCACTGGCAGAAGAGGTCCAAAACATAACACTATGTGAAAATGTGGCTGAACTCCTGGCTGTTGCCTTACAAAGGTACATGCACTCTTCAAAGGGATGCTACTGAAGCCCCATGTACTCTAGCAAAATAGGCCCTCCCCGTCTGGAGGTGGCAGATGCACCAACTGATGCACCAACAGAGCAAAAAGGATATGGACAGATGTCCATATAGCATCTCTGAACCAAATGTTGCTTGTCCCTATGCTCACTGCCATGGCAGCAAACAGCTTAGGTGATTTTCTGACTGATTTAATTTCCAGCAGGCACTAATGCCTGACTCCTTACGTCACTTCCTTGATACCTGTTGGGAGACTAATACAACAAAACATAGTATGTTTTTGTGTAGGTATGAGACACCTTTCTGATACAAAAAGTTGAGGAAACAACTAGAGCATCACCTATTTTGGATCTGGTTTTGGCCAACAGGATGATTACATGTGATATTGGGAACAATAGCCTAAGAAAAGGAAGACATGAGAACAGCACAAAAAAAAGCTACTGGACTTCAACAGCACAGGTAACAAAGAGGAAGTGGTGCAGATTGGGATAATAAATAAACATGTCCGATCTTTTGACAATTTGAATGTATTCAAATCAGTGGAGCCTAATGCTCTTCACCCCAGGGAATTGAAGGAATTAGCCAAAGAAATCTCAAAGCCATTGGCAACAAATTACGAACTCATGGATGATAGGAGACATCCTAGGAGACTGGAGAAGGGCTAAGATGGTGCCCATTTTCAAAACAGGCTAAAAGGAGGAGCCAAGAAACCATATAAACCAGTCAGCCTGACCTTGACACCTGGGAAGCTACTAGAGCAATTTAGGAAATAAGGGGTGATCACCAGTATTCATAAGCTATGCACTCGTACAGCCACTTAGGAGATTGAAATGCTGCCAGCTTATCATCAGAGGGCCCACAGCTAGGTTTCTTGTTTTCACTGGTAGTGTACCTTCGCACATGCCTCAATGCACAAGCATTTATTCTGCACATGGATGGAAAAAATCTCCACATGCATAGAAGAGACTAGAGAGAATATTGATGATCATTAGCAGTCAGCGTAGATTTACTAAGAACAAATCCTGCTAAACTAACTTGATTTCCTGTTTTGACAGGTAACTGGTTTAGTGGTTTAATATACCTAGACTTTAGCAATGCTTTTCACAGAGTTCCACATGACATTCTGATGAAGTAAGATGGAGAAATGTAAGCTTGGTAGACCTACTATTAAGTGGATACAAAACTGGTGAAACAATTGCAAACAAAGAGTAACTATTGATGGAGGGAGGTCCTAATTGGTTTCCACAGGGATTTTTCTGAATCCAGTGTTTAAAATCTTTATTAGATTACCTGGATGTAGGAAGAGAGAGCATACTAGGCAAATTTGCAGATGAAACTAAGCTAGGCAGGGAAGGAGAGGGGCAGGAAGAGTTTGCAAACACTTTGAGGGATAGAATTAAATTACAAAAGGATTTTCAGACATTTGAGAACTGGCCTACAGACAACAATATGAAATTCTACAAAGACAAACGTATGATCCTATACTTAGGAAAGAAAAACCAAACTAAAATGGGCAACGGAGGAAAACTAGCTTGGCAGTAGCACTGCTAAAAAGGATCTGAGAATTACTGTAGAGCACAATCAAAACATGGGTCAATAATGTGATGCTGTTGCTTTTTTTGGCAAATGCAATTTTGGGTTGCATTAATAGAGGCATAGCATGCAAGTCACACGAGATGAAAATACCACCCTAGTCAGCACTGTCTAGGTCTCAGCTGGAGTACTGTGTCCAATTTTTGTCACTGCTGTATAGAAAAGATGTAGAAAAACTGGAAAAGGATCCAGAGGCATGCAACAAAGATGATCAAAAGTATGGAACAAAAGCCATTTATATGGATGGAACACAAGCCATTCACTCCAATTACAAATACTGTAGATTTGCTGGCCATTTAAATGCCAATTTGTGAGATGAAGGGAATCCAGACTGGGATGTCTAATCCTACCATTCGCCTGAGTCAGCAGGTCTGGGAAGGACAATGAGGATGAGCTGGCAGCCACTACATTCTTGATGAAGCCCTGACAAAATATTCATGTTATGGGATATTTCCATCAGTGATATCGTCACAAACACACAAATCTCACCACACCTGCAAAAATAGAAGAAATACAAGCAGAAAACCAAAACAGCAGAGTGGGAGCTACCAAGTTTATTTATGAGGGAGACAAACAATAGAGCAGTCCCACCCCCAGTCCAATAGCTATTAAGGAAAATGAAAGTCTCAAGGAAGGAGAACATCAAGCTGGAATGGAGGGAAATAATCACATAATTTAAACCAAATTATGTCATTGTATCTTCTTGCAATACACCCCGGGAAAGAAACCCCAGTTAGTAGAAAGAGCAAAGGAATTCTAATGGTGGATTTCACTAGCAGAAATATATTTCAAGAATGTGTATATATTTGGCCCAACATCCAAAAGAAAGTGAACAAGAAAGCTACAAGTGAGCAAGAGTCAGAGAGAATAAAAAGGTAAAACAAGCAAATGAAATCAGGAAGAGGAAGTGAACGAGTCATTCTGCAGGTAACAAGATCAGTTAACACACATGGGCTAGGATTAATGGAGGTCTGAGGTAACCTCAGGGTACAACCTAGATTGCTTAGTGTCCTTAAAACTTTTCATCCTAGGCTCTGTCACAATGCTATGCTAGTGAAAAGTACGTTGTGAGATATCAGAATGCTGTGATCAGTTGGCCATCAATATGTGAAGAGACTCACTCAGTTGAGTTGCATGAATGTTCTCTAAGCCACTCACGATTTATACACAGGGAGATTCCAGACAATTGTCCCCAGCATTGAACCCCAGTGATTTACTATCTTCCACTGCTCAAAAGAGTCTCATTAATTAGAGTGCTTCTGAGCAGATTCCCCAAGCATGATGACTAGAAAATCCATATAGGAAATTGTTTGCAGGGCACGGAGGTTGCAGATCTCATGAGACATCTATTCAGACATATGTGCAGAGTGCTGGGGAGGAACTGTGGTCCTGGTACATGCAGCTACCAAATGATAGAGGGAAAGGTAGGAGAAAGGTCCTGGAAGCCAGGTGTCTACCTGCATGTGCCAAGAATCGGACGAAAGGAGTCTGTGCTGTGGGTCTTCTGATGCACTTGCCAGAAAAGCTCAACATTGCAGGTCACCCCCAAGGTTTTTGTTTGGATTTTGTGCTTTCATTTTCTTGATTGTTAACTTGTTAAGTATGGTAAAAAAAGATTCTGTAACAGTCAAGACAATAAGAGAGTTTGACATTTGGGGGCAACAAAGAATGCAGAGATATGGAATTAAGAGACCCCATATAACTTTGGGTATTAAGGAATGAAGAGGGAAAGCCTCAGACCACAGATCCATTTGCACTGTTACTAGCCTGTAAATAGAGCAGGTTGCTTCATGTAAACTGGAAGCATAAAGTAAATCAAACTGAATGCTCAGAAGAAACAGATCAGCAAGGAAAAAGGGAGGGGGCAGAACAAACAATCAATAGCCCCCATGCCTCTGCTGGAATATAAAGCAGACAGCCATGACACCCAGTGGCCAATGGCGGTGGTGGGGGAACTTGGCTCTGCCATCTCCATTGGGTTCCAACCCAGGATCCTATGAAGCCAGTAACTCCCCACTAGGGGCTCAGGCATCAGCTTCTACTACCTGCCCTGGGTTACTTGCTATCACAATCTGTGTCCTGGGCAACTCCTCAGTGAGCGGCTGTTTGATTTCTTCACAGTCAGTGAATCACCTGCAGCGGAGTCTAGGTCCTTGGGCTCTACTGCCTGGAAAGTCGCAGGCATCTCTGCAGGAACCTGCAGTACACATCCCTCCTCTGCACCCAGCCCTGACTGAGTTGGGCTGCCTCCTCAGCTTCTTCCTCTGGAGCAGAGGCAATAAGGGAAGAAGGCATGGACTTCTGGGCCCACAGTGATTGGTCTGTTCCCATTGGCACAGTGTGAGATTGGTACACTCCATCACAATTAAATGAACACTACTGCTTAACCTAGTCTCTCCAACAGCTCACTTCTCCAATGAGAGCCTGGCTTATTTAATACAACATACACTTCAAACCAAACATGTAGAATAGTGATAGAAATGTAGCCGTGTTAGTCTGGGGTAGTTGAAGCAAAATGCAGGACAATGTAGCAGTTCATTTTTTTTAATTGTATCCTTTGGTATATATGGTTGTAACTACTTTCTTCCACTATTTGATCTGAGGAAGTGGGTCTGGCCCACGAAAGCTCATCATCTAATAAACCATCTTGTTAGTCTTTAAAGTGCTACATTGTCCTGCATTTTACTTCAAACCAAGTATGTCTTAATTACTGATTGGCCTGTTTTCTTAAATATGAATCAATCGCTGGCAGTCCATTTCAACAATTCTTTATGCTTTCTTGGGAAAGGCAGCAGATCCATGTATAATCGGCTCCAACACAGACATCACCATTATTGGTTTGAACAGAGATCGAGGTGGGACATTAAAATAATTCATGGAATAATCCCATCTAGTTTTAAAAGTATTCAAGGGAAGCTACGGAATTTTCTAACTTCTAGTGAGCTCAACATGTAGTATTCTCTGAGGGTGGAAGAGCAACTAAGTTCAGAGCCATCCACTTACACAGAAAGTTTCTATTGAAAGAAGATTGGCTTACATTAAGTTTACATTGTGAATGAAATGTAGGAGGGCATGCAAATACAATTCTACTTCTCCACCTGAAGTGTTTCCCCCAAATATTTCTGTGCAATAGCATTTCCCTTGTCAAACATATCAATTCCCTCTACAGACACTGAGCATCTATATTTAGGAATGCTTTTGAATGGTTCTGGTATATCAGATGCTCAGCAATTAGGTAAGCGGCTTTTCTGACTTACCCGACAGGTTGAGGTCTGCAAGAACAACATTTGTCAGGAATCCATGCATATCAAAATGAATTCTACCATTCTTCACACTGTCCGTAATAATAGATTTCACAGAGCCAAGTGCCAGCATACAGGCTTCATGTATCTTCCACCTAAAAAAGAATTCATATGCCATTAATTTTCCCACATTTATTCTGAATGAATATATAACCCCAGCCTTCTCTCACTGCAGAAGCAGAGGGCCAAGCAAGAAGTGCCTCTCAAGGCCACTGCAACACCAGTGGGCACAGCTGGGGAAGGGGTGCTTGTCCCCTGGCTTGGGCAGGTCGAGGTTCATCTGCCCCCTATGCTCCCCACAGTATGGAATGCAGCAAACTGTGAACTTCCCCCTCACTTCCCAACCACGTGTAACAGCCAGTAATGTTCCCATATGAATTAGGGAGGTGGAGTTGTAATGACTTCATGAATGGTTTCAGTCTGTCAAAATAAAAAGCCAGAGCCCTTCGCACCTCAATGGAGTGGAGTCTCTGCTCCTGGGTGCTACTGTGTAGCTTAGGATAAAAGACTGGAAGGAACATATCTTGGCTCATATAGAATTGACACACCACCTTTGTGTGATGTGGTCGGGGATTGTACCTTGTCTTTAAAGAAGACTTTATAGGAGTTGCTGATATTACTGAAACCAGGAAAGCCACCTTGTGAGAGGTAGTGCAGGGAGCAAGTGGCCAACAGTTCTAACTGCAATCCATAAGTATGGACTAAATTAAAATCCCAGGGGGACGAGTTGAGGGACCTGAGGGTAAAGCCTGTCACGACCTTTTAGAAATCATGGAGTTCGTGAACACTGAGCAACTGTGAGCAGCCAGGTGGAAAGCTGATAAGGATTCTTAAAGAAGAAACCAACAAACCCCACTATTTGAGGTGGAGAAGATAGTCTATAATCAAGGGAATGGAAGGAGGTGTTGGAGGCGAGACATGCCATGCCAACCAGACTGAGAATCTCTTCCTCTTGGGGAGGTATGTAGCTCTGAGAAGGTTTTCTACTGGCAAGGAGAACTTGCCTAACCTGATCTGAGCACAAAAGCTCCCCCAGATTCAGACAGGGAGCTTCCATACTGTGAGGTGAAGCAACTCTAGGTTCGGATCCTGGAGATGACCATGGTCCTGAGTTAGAAGATCCGGGAACAGTGGCAGAATGATTGACATTTCTACAGACATCCAGGAGAGATGTGTACCAGTGCTCACAGGTCACCTGAGCTCATTCCCTCCAGACCTTGAGGTTGACCTTCTTTACAAGTGGTATGGGAGGGAAGGCATAAAGGAGACAATTTCTCCAGGGGAGGAGGAACACATTCGTGCTGGATCCTCAGCTGTGAATCTGGAAGGAACAGGACCGCTGGCACACCCTGTTGTGCTGCACAGCGAACAAGTACATTTGGGGAAAGCCTCCCACACGCCCCTCCCACCCCAAGAGGGCAATCTGGGCACATTTGCAACAGCTGGGCAACCTGCTGAGGTGGTCTGCCAGCTTGCTCTGCATCCTCAGAAGATAGGAAGCTTGAAGAAGAACTGAATGTTCTATACAGAAATCCCACAGGGCATGTTGGCACAGGAGAGAGAAGCATGCAATGCTGTTTGGGTATAAAACATTACTGTTGTGTTGTCCATCATAACTAATACACAAAGCCCTGTCACTTGAGTCTGGAAGGTCTGACAAGCTAGGTGCACTGCCCTAAGCTCACCAACAATGATGTGGAGAGCCAAGTCAGCCGGAGACCACAGACCTTGAGTTTTGAGGTCCCAAGTCCGATGTATCTGTCACAAGCAACACTGATGGTTGGGTGAAGGGAACTCATGAGGAAACACTGACAGGAACTCCTGAGCAAATCTCCTGCAGGTTTAAACACCAGAGGAGGGAATCAAGCACTGGGCAAGGCAAACTTACAGCCCTGTCCAAACTGTCCTGACTGGGCAATAGGCTGATGCCAGCCACAACTAAAGTGACCTGAGCCTGGCATGTGGCCCAAGGTAAGTACATGAGCACATGGCCTAAAAACTTCAGATGGGTCCTTGCTGTAAAGGTAGGAAATTGTTGGAGACCGTGAATGAGATCAGATAGGACCTTGAGGTCGTTATGCCCTGGTCTGGGTCAGATCCAGAACTGCCCCTATAAACTCTTATC